ACCGCAGCTTGCTGCTGCTTGCTTCCCTTACGTCTCCTGCTGTTGGAGGCCATGGCTGCAGCTGCTCCTCACTATCTTCTTCTTGTTGCTGCTCATCTCTGCTGCTGCTCCTGCTGCTGCTCCTGCTGCTGCTGTTGCTCTTGCTGCGCTCCCTACCCCGAGAATCACCAGGGGTCTTTGCTGCTGCACCAGAGCTGCTGCTGCTGCTGCTGCTACTTGATGCTGCGACTCTTCGTCTCTTCTTGCTGCTCAAGTGCGTTAGCCTCCTTCTCTTCTTTTTCTGCGTCACCGCGTTGCTGCTGCTGCTGCTGCTGCTGCTACTGCGGCTGCTGCTGCTGCTGCTGCTACTGCGGCTGCTGCTGCCATTTGTGGCGGACCCAGTTCTGCTTTGGTTGTTTCTAGTCAGGTCTGCCGGCGTTTCGGCAGAAGTGTCCTTGCGCAAGCTGCTGCTGCTCCTCTTGCTGCTGCTGCTGCTGCTGCTGCTGCGGTTTCTGTCCTTGGCGCCGCTGCTCCCCTTAGACGAGGAACGCTGAGGGGTTTCCCTCTGCGAGGATTTGCGCTGCACCATTCCTTCACTGCTGCTGCAGTTGCTGTTGCTGCCGACTGTCTAGCAGCAACTGCTGCTGCTGCTGCCGCTGCTGCTGCCGTTGCTGCTGCTGCTAATGCTGTGGGGTCCCTCAATAGCTGCCAAAGCAAAAGACAAAATGCGCAGCAACACAAAGGTGGAGCAGCAGACAACCTTTCCTTGGTGTTACGGTTGTTGCTGTCGTCTACTTGTGCTGCTGCTGCCGCTGCTGCTGGTGTTAATTACTGCCGGCGCAACAAGAGTGACACCCACACCCACGTCCGAATTGGTGCTGTTGGTGTTGCTGCAGCTGCTGCTTCTGCTGCTGCTGCTGCTGCTGCAGATGAAGATGCTCTCGAAGCTGAGAGCGTGATGACCGGGCTGGCGGTTGCGGCGGCTGGGCGCTGCTGCGGCGGCTCCCTGTGTTGCTGCTGCTGCTGCTCCGCTGCAGGCAGCAGCGGGAGTTTCTGTTTTTAATAGCTGTTGCGTCTCCAATTCTGCTCTGCTGCAGCAGCAGCTGCAGCACTTGGTGTTGCTTCTCCTTCGTCCGCGCACCGCGCGTTGCTGCCGTTGTTGCTGCTGCTGCTGCTGCTCGCTCCTCCTGCTGACAGACACAGGAAGAAGCAGGAGACTCACTAGAAAGTGCAACGGATGCAAACGGCCAACAACAGCAGCTGATGCTGCAACTTCTCCCTGGGGGTCGGTGGGGCTGAACTTGCTGCTAGTGCTGCTGCTGCTGCTGCTGCTGCAGCTGCTGCGACTGCGGCTGCTGCTGCAGCCGCAGTCATCAGCCATAGCAACAGCAGCGCACCGCTTGTATATGGTGACAGATTATAATAAAAATGAAATTAACTTGAGGCGCATTAGACCACGCTCAGCTGTGCTTCGCCTGCGGCAGCTGTTGCTGTTGCTTCATTGATTGCTGCCTACAGCAGCAGCAGCTGCTGCTGCTGCAGCCTTTATTGCTGGCGTCGGCAGGGCATAAGGCGCGGAACACATACTCGCTGCTGCAGCAATTTCCATCATGAGTTAAGAAACTCTTTGAGTATTTTAGTCTTCGGTCCCGAGAACCGAAGCAGAGGGAGCAGCAGCAGGAGCAGCAGCAGCAGCAGCTGCTGCTGCTGCAACCGTAGCTGCAGCAAACACCCTCACAACTGCTGCATTAGACGCACCGTACGCGTGTCTGATGTCTGTGTCTCGCTATCCTACCGAGAGGTGTGTAGCAGCATTACTCCAGGGTCTGCTGCAGCAGCAGCAGCAGCCGCTGCTGCTGCTGTAGCTGTAGGTGGTCTCGACCACCAACGGCCGACAGCAGCTGTTGCTGCTGTCCCAGCGACTGTAAGTGCCGCGTCGCGCGCTGCTAATGTAGCAGCAGCTGCATCCGCAGCAACAACAGCAAAACAGCCGCAGAGACAAAACAATAAACTGCTGCTTTAACCAGACGAGACAGCAGGCAGCAGCAGCAGCAGCAGCGAGAAATGGATGGCGGCAGCAACACAAGCTGCAGCAGCAGCATCAGCAGCGACTACGTCTCCTCCAGTGACAGCGAAGATGGTGACTTCATCTGTAGGATCCAGGCCTCTACGGCAGCACCACCAACAGCAGCAGCACTACCTCAGCAGCAGCAGCAGCAGCCAAAGGGCTTTTGGGCTGGTCTTGTAAGCGGCGGCGCCCTTTCTTTTAGCCTAACATCTGCTACTGCATCTGCTGCTTCACCTCCACCTGCAGAAGCAGCAGCAACAACAACGGCAGCAGCAACACCCGCAGCAGCAACACCCGCAGCAGCAGCACCCGCAGCAACAGCAAATAGATCCTCGAGAGCAGCAGCAGCAAAGTCTGCCCCCTCCTCGTCGGTGGAGTTGCTCTCGACTTTGCTGCGGCGTTCGCAGCTGCTGCAGCAGAAGCAGCAACAGTTGAAGGTACTGCAGCAGCAGCGCTTAGAATTAGAGAAGCAGCTGGAGATACAGCTGAGCTTAGCTGCTGCTGCACGACGCGGCAGCAGCAGGAGTTCAAAGAGGGGAGCAGCAGCTGCTGCTGGTGCTGCGCAGGGCCTTGCTGTCCCCGGAGACAAGGCAACAGCAACAGTAGGAGCAGCAGCAGCAGCAGCAAGAGCAGCAGCAGCTCTCCCCGATAGACCAGGAGATTGTTGTGAAGAGTGGATGGACGACGACCAGAGGCGAACAAAGGGCAGCAGCAGCACAAGCAGCAGCAGCACTAGCAGCGCGAGCAGCCCTAGCAACAACAGCAGTCCCAGCAACATCGTCAACACAACCATCATTAGCAGCAGGTGCAGCAACAGCAGCGCGTGCAGCAGCAGCAGCAGCAGCAGCAAGAACAGGAAGGAGTTGTGCAACGTGGAGTTGTTATTGTTGGATCGGTTAAGTTGTGTCTGCTGCCTGTGGCGGCAGCAGCTGCAGCAGCTAAGCAAGACACTGCAGAGTTTGCTGCTGCGTTACCGCAGCAGCAAGGAGCGTTTGCAAGGTGCAGCAGCAGAACTTGAGCAGCAACAGCAAGGTGTATATTGTTTGCGGCTAAGGAAACTGCATGAGGTAGCTAGGCTGCTGCCTATAGAGAATACAGCAGCAGGAAGAACAATTTTATCTCTTTCTTTGCCTCCTATTTCTTCCTTACTAGAGGAATTACAAGAAAAAGCATTTAAGGGGGAAGTCCTTAAGGCTGTATCTGCTGCTGCTGGATTTGCTGCGCTGCTGCTGCTGCTCATCTCCCGTCTTACAGCAACACCGTTGCTGCACCGTATCGTAGCCAGGGGTGCGCGTTCGAGTGTATGTACACCACAGGGGGAATTGCCTCTGTATATTCGCGAGGGAGATACTCAGGCAGCGCAGCAGCAGCTGCAGCAAGGTCTGCTGCTGCTGCTGCAGGCTATTGATGGAGTTGCAGCAGCAAGAGAGCATCCCCCTAAACACTTCCATGACAAAGATGTGCTGCAGAGGCTCGAGGCGCTCCTCTACAACGAACTATGGGGCTTTAAAGCTACACTATAGCTGCAGCAGCTAGCTATTTTGCATGCACAGCTAGCTGCTGCCCAAATAGCTAGCTAGCTAGCTAGCTAGCTAACTACCCAGAAAAGTAACCAGCTTGCTAGATGCCCAGGTAGCCAACTGAACTAGCCATGTAAAGAAACAGCCAGCGAAATAACCAGACAGCTGGCCAGTCAGCTAGCTAGCGAGCTAGCTAGCCAGCTCGCTGATGAAGGGACTAGCTAGCTAGAGTAGGCAGCTAGCCAGACGCGGCTGGATGTTTTTTTTTTATTATTATTGGAGGAGAGAGAACTTTTATCTGCGGAGGAGGAAAACCTCAAAGTATGCAGAAATGGCAAACGCCACTTAACAGCGACTCACCAATTTTCAATAGGCTATGCATCTATGCATGCGCATAATATATATATTAGATATTTACTTATTTATTTGCTTATTTATTCATTTATTTTATTGTTTATATATGAATCATGTACATGTACTCTGTTTACACGTTCGTCTTGCATGTTGTTATTGTGGGTCTATATGTTCTATCTGGTACTCTTGTCTGCCTATTAATGCATACTATGTAGGATGTATACTGTAAGTTGTATACATATTATATATATTATATGTATTAATCTTAATTGCGTATATAAAGTGCATGCATCTGAAACGCATGCGACGTCGGTCAGCATTCGCTGAAGTGTGCACTGAGGTGGCTGAGGTGTACACTGAGGTGTGTAGAAATGTACGGCTCTCAAGGCATGGAGAGCAGCAAACAGCAGGCCCACCTAGCTGCTGGCTAACAGCCTGCAGCAGGTAGCCTGCAGCAGGTAGCCTACGGCTAGCCAGCAGCTAGCTAGTGCAGGGAGCCCTCTGTAGTCCGTTGCTGGGTTTGGGTTTAGGGTTTGCGCCGACCCAAAGATAAAACAATGTAAAAGGCTACAGGAACTTGTCAGCGCCGTCGTCTGCTGCTGTCTTCCCGTCAGGAGCATCTGCACACATATCCAACAGCAGCAACAGAAGCAGCAGCAGCAAAGTAATTAAAAACAGCGCCATGAAAGGCAGCAACAGCAGAGACAGAAGAAGCTATACGTATCACCGATAGAAACTTACCGAATGCAGGAGGCGGTACCTCTGCGGGCTGCAGCCAGCCGGTAGCAACTGCCGTTAACTGAAAATATTCGCAGCAGCAGCAAGCGCAGCAACATCAGTACTAGCAGTAGCATCCCTCCTTTGAACACAACGCCGCCAGCTGCCGGTGCGGCGGCCTCCCCACCAGCAGCAGCAACCCAAACACCCGTATATGCAACAACAACAACAGCAGCAGCAGCAGAATGCTCCTCACCGAGCTGAGGCTCTCCCTGGCCTTGTCAAAGACACTGCCTCCTTCTGCTGCTCCGGGGCTGCTGTTGTTGCTGCTGCTGGTGCTGCGGACAACTTGAGTAACATTGGAGATAGAACGACGAGTCAGCTCCCGCATCGACTCCAGCACTCCGCTGCTGCCGCGCTGTGGCTCTTCCTGCTGCTGCTGCTCTCCAGTCGGTGAGGATGGGCTGCTGCTATCGTTGGCCTCACCGCCCGCTGCAGACAAAGATCAAAACTCCAGATGCGATGTGCAGCCGCAGCAAACCAGCAGCAGCAGTAGAAGTAGCAGTAGCAGCAACAGCAGCAGCAACAGTATCAGGCGGCCGCACTGAATGTTGTGGAGAGCTTCTTCGACTGTTGGGCAATCCACTCGCTTCCCTGCAGGTTCGTCGCATACACAAATTTAAGCATTTATATGTAGCCGCAGCAGCAGAAGCAGCACCACCAGCACCCGCAGCAGGTGCAAGAATAGCAGCGGCAAAAGTAACAGTAGCTGACAGCAGCTGATAACAGCAGACTGAAACAAACGCAAATGGAAAACGTGTCAACTAACTACTCCTGCTGCCGCTGCTACCGCTGCTGCTGTTGTTGCTGCTGCTGCGGTTTACGTACAGTTTGGAACCCTCCTTTTGCCTTCTCAAGGATGCTGGACTCTCCTGCAGCTTCGATTGTTTTCGTTGTGTATTCTTTTGCTCCTGAAACAAAGGAAGAGACGCTCTGAATTGCACTATCTATCGCGGCTCCTCCCGTGCTGCTGACGGTTGCAGCTGCTGCTGCTGCTGCAGCAGAAGCAGCGGCGGCCTGCTGTTGCAGGGAGGCCATGAAGCCGTCTTCTTCCTTCGCAGGTTCCTCCTGCTGCTGCTGCTGCTGATCCATCGGGCGGGACCCCAGAGAGCGAACGGATGATAGGGATGAATAAGGAGGAGAAGCAGCTGCAGATGCATCGGGTTCTGCTGCTTCTGCTTTGTTCAACGGAGGTGGTGCAGGAGCTGACGGCTCTGCAGCAGACCGCAGCAGAGCCCTGTAATAAGCTGCTGCCTTCGTTGCGTATCTTTCCTTAAGAGGCAAATCCCAAACGCCCTGCAGCAAGTGCAACACGAAGACCCTAAAACCCTAAGCCCTAGACCCTAAATGGTAAACCCCAAAGCAATCAGGGAAACGGAAGAGGAAACCGAAAAGGCAACAGAGGCTGCAACAAAGTAATGGAAGCGGCGACAGCAGCAATGCCAGTAAAAGAAGCATCATTAGCAGCATTGAGAACAGGCCAAGGGAGGGAATAAAGGTGGCCATGGGATATGTAGAGGCAAAACAGACTAATGAACAGATGGAGCAACAGAAACAAAAGCACAACAAGAACAAAAAGCAGCACAATTGTTCAACACATGTATAGACCAATACTATTAGCCATGTATACGTATATATAAGCTGTACGTGAGGTCCTGAATCTCACATATTCGATGAAGAAGTTCTTGCACTTGGAGTTGCCGCCGCATTCCATCAACTTTAGCTGCTGCGGCTGCCACGCGTCCATAGTGCTGCTCCTCACGAAACTCAGATGCACTCCCAGGCCCCTGCAGCACCAGCACACCACAACAGCATCAGCAGAAGCAATACAACAATTGCAGCAGCAAAACGTGCAGCGCTGTGGAGGCAACTCGTTCATATTGAAGATACGCGGACATACGCATACATATCATTAGCATCCAAGTATGTCCGTAAGCCCGGTCATGTGTGCCAATATGGCATACAGTTTTACGTCCTACATGTGTCTTTGGCTCATTACAACATGGTAATTAAAGGGAAATGAAACGATTCAAGAAACAAACACGCGCTACTATATAATTTGTTATAATAGCTATTTGTTTTGCTAACCCACGAACGTGCGGCAACTCGCCTGTGCAGGCCAGAACAGTGAAGACAGACGAAGGCGCCATAAGAGAGTGCGCACCACTGCGGCTCGGGAGTATCTGCAGCAAAGTAGGGAAAATCAATAAGAGGACGGCAGACGTCCTTCAGGCTTCTCTTGAACATGCGGTGGTTGGCTGTCGACAAACTCAAGGGCTTCTGGAGGGGGAAGCTAAGAAAACCGGAGGAAAGTACAGCTATAGCATGCATGATAGCATAGCGTTGTTGAATACACACAATAAAATGCCTTACCGCACTCGAGGCATCGCCTGTTACTCGGATCCGCCTCTTTCAAACGCTGAAACACGGCGGCTGTGTCGGGATCCATACTGGGCGGAACTGGAGGTACTTGGGGAAGGCAAACGTGTTTTTTCTTATCCAGATGAATTCAGTCAGTTAAAAGTACTATTTTTTAAAGCATGTGTCTATACTGCCTTCTTATTCAGCGTTTCCACGTAGCAAGTGCTCGGAAACCACTCAAAAGTCAAAAGCGCCGCCGTGCGCGATCTCGGAATATGGGAGCGCCCTGAGTCCTCAAACAGCGTTGATAAGTTCACAAAATTAAACATTAAAGCAGGAAAGGCAGCAAGAGGAAAAGCGATGCACGCCGCAGGTTGTCTGCATGCAGGGAGTCCGTCGTCGCTGCTGGCTGGGCAGGCGAGCAGTGAACCGTTCGACGCCTCCCACAGGGGGGAAAATGAGGGACTTCTGTGTTCAGGACCAGGAGAGAACAATGCGTATGCAAGCTGCATGCACTTCTGCTGCTTAGAAGGATAGTGTGCAGATCTGCTGAGTTTGCTCTGGAGAGCGTTCCAACATGTGCGAGGCCGTTGTCGAGAGCCCTTTTGGGTTGAGGAACTGTGGAGGACAAGGAATACTGCAGAGGCAGCAATAAATTAAAAAGACAGTTCAACGCACCTGCAGTGCAATTATGAGTATTAAAGCTAAATGTGTTTCCGCCAAAGTGTTAAGGGGTGTGAAGTGCCTGCCTAGACCTTTGCTAGGCATGTAGGATGGATGCACAAATCTACCGGCTCTCTTTTGCAGGGTTTTCCATTAGTTTTAGATTCTTTTAGTGGGGTTGGAACTTGTTCGCAGTAAGATGAGGTGGGGTTACTGACTTCTGGGGATGTTGAACGTATCTACCAAATCGAATATTTCTCCGCATGACGGATTTGGCCTATCATAGCAGAACTGGCCAGAAACATCTAAGAACTGCGTTGCTACATTGACAAGTTCTTGAACGGGTAAACTAGAATGTACTCGCAAGCCCCTGTTAAACGACGCAGAAACGGTGTCCGAAGAGGAAACAGTACAGAGATTTCATTCCAGTTGCTCGAACGGATGCTACAGTTGAAGAAGCACCAGTTTCAAACTTGAGCATTTTGTCCACTTGAAGCCAGTTCACAATTTCCCACTTTTGTGGCGCTGGCTAGTAATAATTCGAGCGGCGACTGCATGCATTTTAAGCTTCAAAGTCCGAGAAGTCAAAGGAGCTGTCTTCCCTCCCCATAGGCAGCTCGAGAGGTCTGACAGAGTGCGGCATAGCTGCTTCTGGTTGGTAGCAGCAGGTATCTGCAACAAGAGGATCAGCAGCCGGGAGCGCAAAGAGGTTTGCTCCGAAGGGTCGTGTAGGAGGAAGACAGACTTCTTGGTCTTGCAGCTGCAGAGAGGCAGCACTTTGTGGGGACTTCTCCTCTTGTTGTTCGCCTTTCTCCTCTTCTGCATTTGCGCTGATGTCCGTGTGCATGGCCATCCTCGAAAGCTCGCGTGCCATCCCTTCCGCCGTCGTTTGCTTGAATCGGGTGAGTCGGTGCGCGTTTAGCAGTACCAGTAGACAGCTGCACGCCATGGCTGCAGCTGCTGCTGCAGGGTGGAGAGACACAGTAGGGTATGCCACTCCAGCAGCAAGCGGCACCGAAACCAGGTTAAAGACGCAGGCCCAGAGAAGATTCCTAAGGAGAACGACACCCACAACCCGCTAGCCGCTGCTGCGTGTTGCAACAGCAGAAGAGGTCGGCAGGTGCAGTTTGCCTCTATTACCTTCTCACTTGTACCTCGAGGTCTCTTGGACTGGCTGCAGTACATGACCTCTTTCTACAACTTACGAAGCAGAGCTCTCGCGCCAATATAGGTTTTCAACCTGATATCCTTATGTGATTTACATTCTCCACAAAAAGAATTATTCTCGTTTTCTCCCACCTAGATAATGGTGCACATGTGTGTAGATTTTTACAGTGCAGTGCCTGCTTACCACCGAATGATGCTACGGGTCTGCCGCGCTATGAGGAAGAGATCAACTAGCTCCGTCCAGCTCCGGCCCCCGACCGCCACTGCCGCGGCCGCCAGAGGCAATGCATTGCCGACGCCGAACGCCACCCCCAGCGCAGCTTCTGCTAGAGCAGGAGAGTCATTTAACCCGTCACCCACCATGCAGCAAACAGGCAGATCCTTCTTTTCCCTCTTAAGCAGGGAGACCCCGCTGGGGCTCCCGCTGCCGCTACTGCTGCTGCTGGTGGGGGTGCTAGTGTTGGTAGGGCTGGTGGCGATCTGTGGGGAGTCTGGACTCGCTAGAGAGCGCAGAAAACGCACTTTGTCCTCGGGGGTCTGCTGGGCCACGATGCACTCTTCTGGGATGCTGAGCGCCGCCCCCACTCGGGAGGCTGTCCTAGGATTGTCTCCAGTGCACATGAAAATGCGAAAACCTAGGCATCGGCGCAGATATTCCACCGCAAGTTTTGTCTCGTGCTTGATCTCGTCCTGCAGCGCCACTGACCCCAGCCACTCCCAGGGGCCCCAACAAGTCTCACTCCCCTCACCAGCAGCCACTCGTGCATGCAAGTGGACCACTGGACCGCAATGCCGCTCGTGCCAGCAGGTCCACTCCTGGCTCACACACAAACCCCGCACCACCCTTTTCATGCTTCTGAAAACACCACGTACAGATAGGCTAGCAAAGGGGGTTGTTGCTGTCTGCGCCTCCTAGGGCTTAAAGCCGTGTTTTTCAAAAATCAAATTCATTCGACGCATCAAATACGGCAAGCACAATGTACAATGTCCAACACATTTTTAAAAATGCCTGCATGCGGGAGCATATCTGCATCCTCCAGTATGTAAGCATGCATGCATACTTCTCTCTCTCCGTTATATATATATATATATATATATATATTATATATAT